GGGGAAATCAGTACGATATTAGAACTAACTTTGCCACATATTTCTTCTACTTGTCTATTGAAGGATAAACCTTGATCAATGTACATACCAAGAAATAACTGGCATTCTCCTAGTTGGACATCCTGAGTATTAATTTTGACATCAATACAGTTATTCAAATGTTTGTGATATCTGAAATGTACTATCATTTGTTTTTACTTATATTCAGTGTTAGATAATTATTGCTTAGATATTGTGCTATTTGTTGTAGTGCATTCACTGTTACCTCGTGTTCACATTAATTTGTAATGTAATGTTGGGAGGTCATTTACATTCTACAGGAATACAATATGTGAGAAAATATTATCCAATACACATCAACAAATATGAGAGTTTAAAATAATTTTATTAAACCAGCTATAATATGTTATTATAACTTTGAACTTTAAAATAGAAACTGAATTTCAAATCACCATATTTTTAACCATTTACTAAGACATTTCCTCGATAAATTAATGCTTTGGAAAAAAAAAACGAACGATGTATTAACATAACTAGTCTACCCTTTTATCAACAATAAGTGATCTCTTGTTTTTTAATCTAAAACTAACTCAATATTCATATTTTGATTTTGTTTACCATTAAGAAGAATCCTCCTTCCACACTATATGCATGTAAGCCTTATTTATAATTACAATAACATACAGCATGAAAGTTCCTGTTCCATCATGAAAATTTCAAAAATTAATTAAACCAGGGGTGTCCAAACTTTGACCCAGGGACCACATCTGGCCTTTGGTAGTATCCTATGTAACCTGCCGACCCAATTTAATCAAGACTCAGGCTGTAATATTTTATTGCAAGATTCAAAAATCTGGTTTCCTTAAGTTATACACTCCTTGGTTCACATACCAGCCATGTTGCATAATATATTTATGGAAGAATTTAACAAATAAATACTAAACACTCTTCATTGACAGCTTCCGAGCTGAAAAATACCTTACTGGCTGTATTCAGACAGCTTACACACTTTTTCAATGCACAATGCATCACAACTCAGTACTATGACTTTCTGATAACCTCGAGAGGAAATTCTCCTGCAGCATACGCCTTGAGAAACAAGCGACCCCAAGGTCAAATTCTACAGACTCCCAAAACATCTCTCCTACAATGCCTGGCTCCCGCGAACTAAACCGGGTGTCACAGCGAACGAGTATTTAAAACAAGCTTGCACATGCACTCATTTCATTAAGAACATCTCGTGTCTCTTTGCCAATTGCATTAAACTAATAGGAATTCCATTTTATAAAGATTCTGTTTCTTGCAGGACATGAAAAGCCGTTTTGTTTCCACGTTAGAGTTTCCGTTATATGTGTAAAATGCCATTCCACTTCACACGCTTCAACTGCACAAGACAGGTTTCCGGCTTGTACAGGTTCCAGTTTAGATAGATTTTACTGCATTTCTAGACAGATTGCTAAAAAATCGTTTGCTAACTATTCTCCTTGCCTCAAAGTTATTAAGTGCAGAAAATTGTTCTTATTTCCCACTTCCATTTTGTTTGGAAATCCATTCAGAACTGAAAGTACTGTTCAAAAATACATTTACTGACTTGTATGTTAATTCCAGTGACAGAGTTTTTCAGAATATGTTTTCACGAGATACGTCGCTAGTTCCATAAGCTATACAAATGGAAATTATTGATCTCAAAGCTGATGATGCAATGCAGGGCAAATTCCAAGAAAGAAATTTGACTGAATTCTACAAACTGCCAATGAAACTTTATCCAAAAATTATGAACTTTTCCAGAAGTTTCTTGACAATATTTGGTACAAGTTATAGATATGAACAGACTTTCTCTAAAATGAAGGTGAAATGTCACTATGTAACTTATGTGATGAGCACATTTTAATAATAGGTGAAACAAAAATTAAACATCAAATTAACTTAAGAGTCAAAAGGCTTACGTCTGAAAAAAAATTTGATTGCTCTCATTTAAGTATGTTTTCAAAACATTTATTATTTCTGTGTTTTAGAAAAGAAGTGTCAGTAATTAAATTTTGAAATTTTAAAATTGTAGACCTCAATGAGTGTGTGTGCTTATATGCCCATAAAGGTTTTCAGAATTAATTTGCAAATTGTTAACTGTTTTGATATAATTTAATTTGACAAATGGGTGATAAATTCTCTATCACAAAATTTAATTTTTGACCTTTCAGGCTCTTAAACTCTTTTCATCCTACGGACTATCTAAGATGCCATCTTCAACTGTTCAACAACTTCATCATATTCTAAACAGTACTCAGTATGTCATACATTCTTCTACATTTATTTTCTTTAACAGGCTATAAACATGTCTCAGACATTCGTTGGCACCTAGAATACACTTCTTAATGTTCACAATGTTCGCACGATAATCGCCATGGGTGCTTCTACTGGTTGCAAGTATTTGCATTTTTACTCTAGATGCAAATAGATATTCATTCTTGTGAGTACTGTCGATTACATTCAGAACGTCTTCCTTTATAAGAAGTGTTCGTGCTGTTAGTAACTCAGACACAGAGTCACTGAACATTAGAAATTCAAGAGTTTTTGAATAATGAATCTGAACTGAATTCTTCATAAGAGGATGACGTCTTTCTTCCGAGACTTGACTAGTTAAACAATGAAAATGATTTAGAGGGGAGTGATAATGAATCTGAACTGAATTCTTCATAAGAGGATGACGTCTTTCTTCCGAGATTTGACTAGTTAAACAATGAAAATGATTTAGAGGGGAGTGATAATGGTACAATGGATTTTATTAGTGAGCCTTTTCAAATTTAAGAAATTTTCATTTCCTTTAGAGATGTGTGAAATTGGTGAATAATATGAATAACCAGTGTTAAAAAACAGTAAAATAAAATTTTCTGTAAAAAATAAGGAACTCAATTGAACTGGACTATTTTTCATTATTTTTTTACCACAGTGTATTTCTAAAAATAAAGGCAGAAACAAATAGATATACAAATGGAACTATTTCTGAACTTCAACATAAACAATTATATTGCACCAGTATTGTTTTCAGATGAAGTTCACTGCATTTTCTCCATATTTTGTAATATTGTTTCCTTCTGCAAAAATAAAAAATGTATTTTTTGAATTCCATTCATACTAATAAATTATATAGACTTAAAGAGGAAAGACAATACTACAAAATGTTATCAGTTGAGATGTACGATAGTTTGTGCTTTATAACATTTTGAATAATTGCTATATTGCCCATGATAAAGGAGTTACCCACTTACGATAACCCTAGGATTGAATATGTTAAAAACTTTCCATCTCGCTCCCAGTAGAAGAAAGTTTGGAAACCCCTGAAATAAACTATAATATTTATACCAAATACCACCACCTTGCAGTGTCACCAAAGTGACATATCTCCGATTTGGTCATTTTTGAGTAAACAGTCACTTACCGAAGTTGTTTCAGTACTCGGAGAACATAAAGACACACAAGGAGTGAACAGCAGACTCAAAATTGCAAAACACTTGAAAGAAAATTTTATATTTAAGAAATATTGCAACAAATATTTAGAAATATATTACATGCATTTTCAGCAAGTTAGTGTTACTACAATTTCAGTTTTTGAGGTGAGGCAAGGGTATATATATTTTGAATACGCACAGCATGAGAGTCTGTACTTTCAGACCACATGCAGCATGGACACAATTGGCAATGTTCTTGTTTTTATGAACAAGTTCACATTTACTATAGTTGTTCCTTTAGATCAACGGATTCTCAAGTAAGATTGCAATGAGTTTAGAGCCAGAGTTCCCAAGAAGTAAAAACACACAGCGACATTGTCAAATATTATTGTAAACGTTCAATAACCATTTAAATTGAAACTATTACTCAGAGTTAAGAAAGGTTGTCACAAAATCTTGCATTATAAAAGCACCTCATCTAAACAAAGGTAAAGCAAAAAAATTACACAGAGGCCTTTTACTGCCTGTTTAGAAATAGTTAATTTTACAAGTGCTAATTTCATAAAAATAAATTAGAAAACATATATACAGTAAAACACATTTACTTATGCCGTGAATTAAACAGCTCGACTAAAGATAACACTGTTCTCCTGCAAAATGACAATTTTTGGGATGGGTCACTTTTCTAATGTACTGACAACCTGTCAAGTTAACAGAAAAGTCTTGTATATGTAACTGCTAATTTTATTTAGGGTCTCTACAATTTATCCCAAATGGACTAGGCAAAAAATGTAAATATCTAGTCCAGGCCATGAGATTTCTTATACGAGTTACAAATGGGAATCAAATATTACGAAGAGTTCAGTTAAGAAAATGGTTTAGCATTTCAACAAGTATTAAAGAAATGGCAAAATTAATGTAGAAATTCAGAATCATTGTAACCATAAACAACTTTGTGCAAAATATTAATCTAAAATTAAAATCAGTATCAAGTTCCATACAGCAATTATATAAAAACTGAACACAATTAAATGTGACCTCTTTACATGTTTTAATTTCTTGAAACATCATATACTGTATTGGTTTTAAATCATGTTCAACAAAAAACAGTTTCCCCTTGTAATCAACAGATTATCATTTAGTTTGTAACTTTCATTTGAATGGTGAATTAAATATATAGTTCTTTCAAATAAATTTTCAAAACATTCATAAATTTATCACTTAACATTTTTATTTTATCTAAACAAAGCAACTGTAGTTGTAAAGTAAAAAGAGGCAGCATTTCCATTCTCTTCCATGTGACATTGATTAATTTTATCAATATAAACAAAAAGCCAATTTTCAACATAAAATCGTTTTCCCTTAGACTAATGTATGACATATCAACGATAACTGAGCTAACACTGACCTTCGCAGAGCAAGCTCAAGATATAAACTTCCACAAACTAATTTGTATTAAGCACATCATAAAAGTCAGAAAATGCTAAGAAATCTGTTTCAAATATTAGTGAAAGACTAATCGAAGGGACACATTTACACCAAAATATCAATCATCGCATATAAGTTCATAATCTTTTAACTACAAAGAAACAAGAATCAAATGAATCCTAGGCTTTTTGTACAGCTCAATGTAAGGTCTGTTACGTCCCATTTCTGTAGATTCAACGTAGTATAAAAAAGTTACAGAGTGCAGCATTAACAATAGGCATTCCACTTTGAAGTAATGAATCCACCTAAAAAGTACAACATAAAACAGAAAAACACAATTAATAATTTCATATTATGTCATCCCTAAGATATGACAAAAATCACTTCATACATAAAAAAAAGGAGTAAGATTCAGATAGGAATCAGAAATAATATTCATTAATGTTTTATAACATGATTTATTTTGAATCTTCTCCGGCACCTTAATAATAAATAATTGTACATAAACACTGTTACACAGTAGCCACCAAATTAAGGTGCACTGTTCACAAAGCAAACAATGGTGAAATAATTAAAAACAGTGACAAACAAATGGGTTTGTACAAAAAGTTTCTTGTTGCAATCATAAATTAAATTACCCATTAAATAACTCTTAACTCTTCCTAACCGAAACACAGAAGAGATGTTATAATACCAAGAAAAGGAGACTAATGAATTACTAACGATCAATATGCAGTATGTGCTGTGATATCTTCTTCAAATTTCAATTAGATTTTCAATGACTTCAACAACAGAGTACTCAAGCTTACAACTTCCAAAATACTGAAAGTATTGCAACTATTTCACTTGAACTGGGTGCATTCAGAATGCATGTCAACCAAAGCTCTTACAACACATTGTTTGGTGTATCAAATTACAGATCTACATAATTATTAAAAAAATTGCATAAATATTTAATTTACTTCAATCTGTGGTTACTTACAACATTAACAAATTTAAGAAAAATAAATAATACACATAATAAAATAACCCGCATTTTACAATAAAACGAAAGCTCCCTCGTCTAAATCATATGCCACCTATCTCTTCATTTCATATATAAATGTACTCCACAAATTATATAGGAAACAAATATTTATTTTAGAAGGCCAGTTAGATAGCCACAAACTGCAACCAACTGATGAGGTACAAATAGATAACCTTATCAGACCCAACATGAGTACTTACACATATACATTATGAAAACTTAGGATGCATCATGAGCACCTCAAGAATAAAAATTCAATCAAATAATTTACATGTCATTTGAGAAGCTGAATATAAGAAGTATTTTCACACCACTTACTACAGATTTGAATTTATAAAATGCTATTCAGCACAATAATTTTGTACACTGATAATCAATCAAAATAATTGCAGTCATGATAGAACTAGTGCTTTTATAGCACTTAAATACAACTTTGACTACTTACTCAAATTTTCCAAAAGAGTTGTATTGTATTTACAAGTCCTGAACCATTGAAAATGAGGTAGAACAGACCAACAAGCATTGCAATGGAGAAACCATAAGTAAGACCAAGAGCGATTTTAGGAATGGCATTACCAAAGATAATAGGCCTTACATAATCCACAACAATTGCTTCAATTCCCCAGTGGTTGTGCATAACAAATGTCACAGCAAGTAATGTATCCAGTGCTGCGGATGGATATAGAAACGCAGCAGGTGCAATTCCAAGGAGAGCTGCACTCAAAATTCGTTCAGCACTCCAAAGCTTGGTGTGATCATGTCCAGCTGCCGACAATTTACTTGAGGTGACAGAGAAAGCCTTTACCTGGCTCAAGTCGATTGTTTTGTTCAAATAAGTTGGTGACAAGTTGAGAGCAGTGTTGCTAGAAGCAGCCCAAGGATCCACTTTCGAATTATGGAGCCTCAAAGGGCCTAGGACACTTGCTGTCCGGGTTAAAGTATATCCAGAAAAACATTTGCTTGAAAGTTGGGCATACTTAGGAAAATTTCGAACGATGCAATGGAGAGCCATTACCATGCCTACAGAGATTCATAATTAATATAATTGCATATCAGGGCAATAGAACTTTACCTCAATTGTTTCAACAAGCTTGTTTTAACACTTACTTTAGGCCTAAATAGTTTTATAAAATCGGCCCAATTCGGGTTGCAAGCTGCTTTCAGCTGCTCCTGCTTCTTCGACTCCACGGAAATTAAAGTCAGGCCGTCTGATCTTCCGACAAAGTACGAGGAGAAACGAATGAAACCGAACTTACGTTTTCTCCTTGAACCGTACTGGTGCTATTTTTAAACATAGAAATTTATTACAATTAGTTCAGGGTACAAATATTGTTGTTTCCAGGTTATTCCACCAAGGGTCAGCGATTAGGTATACGTATTCGAAAATCAATGGATGCACTTCTTCCTCACAGGACGTCACAGACAGATTTCAAGTTTTGACGTTAATTAAAGCATCACTTGTAAAATTCATTACAAATCATAGGTTGATAGATTAATTTATTGATATTTTCGGGCGTGTCAGTTGCTAATGTTAGTAGTCTCGTAAGTGGAGAGCATGCTTTTTTATCGTATGAGAGGGCGGTGATTTTCCCCAGCTGGATGGAGAGATCCGGCGATGCCCTCCACGTCGGTTTCTCCCGAAAGCGGGACACTGCTCCAACTGAGACAATCTCTAAGCTCCCGACTGGTTTCCCAACATGTGTGGTAGTGAAGTGCTTGTAAGTGTAAGTATGTGTAAGTGAAGGGTCAGGATAGGACAAATAGGAGGAAGGAAAGATCGCGCATGGTTCGCGTTCCGTTTGTTAGGGTACTGCTCTGGCATTCGCCTGATGTTGTTCGTAAAAACCACGAAAAACTACCAATTAGAGCAGCCGGTCGCTAGAATTCTCCTCTGCATTCGACGTAGCTATAGTGCGATGCTGTGTCTCAAGGTCCGTCTTCATAGTGGCATTTCGCGTCGCGCATTTGTCTTTCTCTGTCGTGCCACTAGATGTCGCCTGATCGCATGATCAACGCGTTCTGAGTATTGGTCATACTTCGATGAAGATATCATTGTTATTATCCGGAATAACATCATTATCTATAAAACGGTAGTATCTTTTAGTTTTTTTCAAATATCTTTAGTCCCATTGCATCTGCAATAAGGTTCATTCTAAGAGCAGGGATACTGAACGAATACATTCGGTAGTTTGAATATTTTATCAATGTCATCAAATATTTATGGCTAAGAACACATTCATTTCTTCAATAGAAGTTGAGAAATAGCATAACGTATGGTTTCACGTTTTATGAGATCAAGAGCACGATTTGGATATAAATTGCTATAGAACATGTATGGAGAAATATATTCTTCTTCACCAATTATATTACATTTGTACATGCCATAAAACGAAGTAGGTTGCAAGAATGATCATTATCCTTGTTTGTATACCACAAGGAAGGGCGAACAGCAGAATTCTGATTCACTGTAACACGAGGTGTATTATTGGACTAGGGGTTCCGGCAGGGGCGGCAGCAACAGCGGCGGCAGAGCTCTCTAAACGCGTCTTCATCCGGAGGGCTCTTGTATTCACTGCCTTCCTCACAAGTGCCTCTGCCTCTTCTGGCTCTGCCGGGCCCGTTTAAGTTGGCGTTTCTCTTGCATTCGGTAGCGCTTTTTGGAGGTCGCTGCCGAACGTTTGCATGCCGCTCGCCTTGAAAGTCACCCTCGCCACGGTGCAATGTTGTAATGGAGGCTCTTCACAACTGGTAAAGTAATGGACATCGGCGCACACAGAGACCCAGAATGTAAATCCAACCATTATCTAGTGAAGGCCAAAATTATGTTTCCACTCATAAGACAAAAAGAAACGGAGATCAAAGAACATAAGGAAGACAAAAATGAAAGTAGTGAAGGTAGGAAATATAATGTAGCAGGTCTATCACAACCAAATTATTTTAAAACACGTTGGATCATTTACTGAATGAAAACATAGTTTGATCAAACAAGGAGATATATGAACACTTCAAAGATCTACATCAAACTGTTAAAGAAGCGCTTGGAAAAATAGCTTAAAAAGAAGAAAAGTAGAGGGAGGAGTTATTGGATTACTCAAGACCTGGAGCGCGAAATAGAGGAGAAGAAGAGACTGTATGAAAATGGTTTAGTACCAAGAAAGCGGAAAACACGGAGGCATATAAAATCCAACGAAATAGAGCTAGAAACGTGATAAGATAAGAAAAACAACAATCATGGGAGCGTGTAGGAAGATTTTCTTGGAACAACAGAAAGGGAAAATATATCTCCAGCCAGAAATATTACAGTAACCGAAAAGAAGCTTAAGAGATTTATCAAAGAAATGGAAGGCGGTAAGGCTCTGGGTGCTGGAGAAATCCCAAGCGAATTAATAAAGAATGGAACACCAAAGCTAGTGCGAATGATGACGAATGTAATTAATAGGTGTATAAATAAAGATGACGGCCCTCGGTGGCTCGCTTTCCACGGCGCAACCACGGGTTCGATTCCCGCTCGGAGCATAAATTAATTTTGCGTATTTTTTGCAATGTCCCATTATCTGTTGCAGTGTGACGATGAGAAAGCTCACTTCTCAGGTTGAGAATACCAGAAATACAGCGTAGGGATGGCTATGTGATAACTACACGTACCCCTTAACCCATGCCAGCGCCCCAAGACCGGGACGCTGCTAAAGGCAAAAGAGCTGTTGTACCAAAGTACTTACATACATACATAAAAGCGATATACCAGAAGACTGGAAAATGACTTATATAACATATAAGAAATAAATATATAAGAAAGAAAGGAAAGACATGTGTGAAAATTATATAGGGATAGCAGTGACAAACACGTTTAGTAAGGAATACAGAAGAATGTTAAGAGAATTAGTAGAAGAGGAGTACGAAGAAAAAAGGAAAACAACAACAACAACAACAACAACAACAACAGAGTGATTCTAGATCGGATCGATCTTGCTTAGATAACCTGTTTTCTCTGTCCCAGGTGATGCAAAACAAATAGCAAACAGGGAGAGAACTTCATACGGTCTTCCTTGATAGAGCAAAGGCCTAATATCCTTGATAGAGCAAAGGCCTAATATCATTAAGTTATTGGAAGTTATGAATAAAAGTAATGTAAATAAAATCTTAATTAAAACGGCGAATGAATTGTATATAGATCAAAAATAAAAAGTGAAAGTTGGAAAACGAATGACTCAAAATTTCCTATATCAAAAGGACTACGACAAGGACTAAGATGCTGTTTGCAACTTACCCTCTTTAAAATATGTCTTAATGCGGTGACAGGCATGGAAAAGAAAATATGCTGGGACGGGAATACAATTTCGTGATAATACAAGACTCTATACTCTATAGTTAGCTAATGATCAGGTGGTGATGGCGCCAGGAAGATATTGAATATATGACTACGAAGATAAAAGTAGGATATGAGAAATTTGGACTAAGAATGAACCTAGAAAAAAACAGTACACTAGACACTATGCCGTGCATAGGATGTTTTGACTATGGGAACTGGAGAAATAATAACAATAAAGGACATAAAGAACTTAGGGACAACAATAGGGAAAAAGGGTTTTGTGGAAAGGAATCCGGCTCATTAAAGGAAGAAAAAAATTACGAACCCTGAATATAGTGATCTGGGTTCCAAATATAAGCGAGAAAATGAAAATTAGAATATATAAATGTGTGATTGAAAGTGTTCTACTGTATGGAGCAGAAATATGGCAACAAATAACAGAAAATAAAATTGAGAGCCCTGGAAATGAATTTTCTCAGAAGAGTTGCAGCAATATCTAGAAGGGAACGAATTAGAAATGAACATGTTTAGGAAATAATGAATCTGCAACATGATACGAATATAGAAAAGAAGGAAATTGAAAAGAAACAACTCACTTGGTTTGGACATGTACAACGAATGGACGAAAAAATACTTCCCAAAAGGTCATTACAATGGCAATCAAGTGAAAGAGAAAACGATGGAGACCAAGACCAGGGTGGAACGACCAGATTTGAAAGGTAATAGAGAAGTGGAAATTACATCGTGATACCTGAAAGAACAGAGAAAACCGAAGACGCGGCTATTAAGAAACCGGCAAGAAAAAGAAAAATGTTTTCATGGATAGAAAAAGGAACACTTAAAAGAATGACACAGGTCTCGTTTTCATTGAAATCTGTGAATATCAAAACATTGCTAATAATGCTAGAAAGTTTGAGCTGTTGTAGCGCCACTAGTTTAGTACCGCCAACAAAATATCAACCTAAACACTGGCTCTATTCCAGGTCTGCACAGCATTTTGCACGTTGACTGACCTCGGGAGCCGCGCGCAAGCAACTTAAAGCAAATACAGCAAGCTGGGAAGGGTGAGAATAATGCCCATCTATGAATGAGGAATGCTGATGAGAATGCGTAATTCGAATCGTAGTGCGTGAATCAAAAGAGCAATTGCGAGAACATGACGGACTATTAAACGTTCAAATATATTAAATTATATTTTCGGAATATTAGACATACTACATATTTGATGAGGATCCAAGTGTTTTAATTGTATGATTAATTGTAACTCGCTTTGCCTCGATCTAATAACGAATTTAGTGTGGTGGTAAGCAGAAAATTGTAATATTGAATCTTTTTTGTTTGATGATGACAGTAATATTTTTTTCATTTACTACATTTAATTGAATAAGACGGTTGAATAAAGGCTAAAAAATCTTATTCTTAAATAATCATGATTACTTACTGCTCTAATTTCTGACAAGAGTATATTATATATTTCTAATTTCAAATCAACGAACACTATTTATTTATAATCGTTTTCATCACAAAAAATTAAGCCCATTGCGTTCCATTTAGAAGACAATAATCTCATCATAAAATATGTTAAGAGAAGTTTGCTCGTTGGTAACTCTTATTCAGCTTCATAATGAGAGAAAATGATCCCAAAAATATGTGATGTCAAAAATTACTCTTCTTGGAATTGCGTGTATTTCGTTTTTACATCAATCTCGACGTGAGAGACTTTCCTCAATTTCCTCCGTTTTGCTATTATTTAGAGATTATAACATTTTTGGTGAAATTAAATTATTAAGTTGTACCTTTTTATTAGTTAGAATTACATATTAGATTTTTAAAAGGCCGCTTCTTTAAAATATTGTTTATGAGTCACAATGAACATAAAGTGAAAAATTTCCATTCCTAGAAATGCACGAAAGAGCATATAGAGTGAAATAAGGCCATTGTAGCTAGAAATACGGGAGATTATCCATTTAAATAAATAGGTAAATAATTTCACAGCATGGATCATTGCATTAGACGCCCATCCATTCAATCTAGCGCCGCGATGACCCTTCTGTGCATATGGGAGGGTACTCTCCTTCCCGCAAATTCGTTCACTCCCCACTACTTGCACTTTGCCACTCTCGCGGGCAGATGCGTGGTTCTTGCGTGCA